ATAATTTACCCACAATCACACAGCTAATAAGTGGCACAGCTGGTATTCAAAACAAAGTCTTAACCCCAAAGCTTTGTTCTCACCATTACATCACACTACCTCTCTGTGTATTTCACCCAAACTCCACGAACCTGCCTTCGTTTACCTTATTCTCAAGCCGAACTGGAATGACTGACGTACTTGAATGTGCCTCTTATTTCCCCACTTCTCTTTCTCAAACTCGAACCCATATTTCCACTTCCAACTGTACGTTTACCTGTAGTTGTCCTACCAGTCTCTTAAAGTACTTTTCAAATTCGATGTCAACCTTAAAATCTTAAGTTTTCTAGTCACAAGTAAGGTTTATTCACCTAAACCGCCTTTAGTACAGCTATCCACCTGTATCATGTCCTCTCAGCGTTGGAGCCGCCAAGGGGCGGGGCCTGGGGCCCGCGCAGAGCCTCCTCCACTCTCTCTTTGCCTTGCGTGGTGAAAGGCAGAGTCAGCACTTAGTGACTTGGAAGGATGAGTTTTAAATTTGTTTTTGATCCAGAGACAGAATGCCCGAGGGACAGGAGTAGAACCAAGTGACTGAAAATACAAAAATATTTTAACGTTCAACTCTGCTGAGAATCTGACTGAGGGCTCGATCAGCTGAGAGAACACAGGGATAGATGCTGATTTTTCCTGGCGCTCTCAATTAGGCCATTTTCTTCCGCGGGATTTTGGCACGGAAATGGGTATCTGATCTGACTGACGTCGTGAGACAAAGCAAAGTCTAGAATAGGAGTAGTTTTGTGAGTTTTAAGTCGTTGGTGATGCCATCTCTGATGTGATGCAAGTGGGGGAGTCAGGAAAGGGTGGCCTGGGAGAGTCAAAGGAGGCGGTTTTTGTCACCGCGGTGGGCTAGAGAAAATCGCTTTGTTTATCTTTACAGATTTGCTGAGTGTGAGCAGAAATAATGATGGAAAAGGAAGCCTGAGTGTACTCTCAATCCAGGAACATTCTCTGTCGCCATGAAACACGCTGTCTACACTCTCAGATAAGAGTCTCCCGGGAGGTCAACTTGAACACACTTTTGTCTCCCTTGTCACCTTATCACAGGTGTCTGGCATGTGTTCTTTTAAGGTTTACTTTTTTTCTTTTAATTTTTGGTGAAGTCCTGGAAGTGACCAGGTGAAGCCTAGGAACTAGAATCAGTAGTAAATTCAGTTCATAAAACCAGCTCTCGGTTTCTCGGTGCCTTTTACGGGGCTACCGTTGTACCATGCCCTTCACAGCAATCCTCAAGAGTCAATGAAGGATCGGCCACGTCCGACGCGGGTCAGTAGGGTCCCCAAACGTGCCCCGCGGATCGCGCGGCCTCGGTCCCCGCTCGCTAGCCCTCGCGTCTTTGGTGGGGCTGCTCCGTCAGCTACATTCCAAGGCCAGACCGGGAGCTCATGCGTGTTGGGATCTGGGCGCGCACTGCGGCAGATGTGGATACACTTCCCAAACGAGAGCAAGCTGAGGATGTCTTTGGAAAGAACACATTCCACGGCAGGTGGTTCCGGAGCCCCGAGAGCTCGAGGCCGCGAACGGAGAACAAAGGCGGACGACGCGGCGACTGGGAACAGGGAACCCGAGGAGACAGCCCGGGGCCCTCACAGCCCACGGCGACGCAGCCCCGGGGAGCTCCGGGCAGGGCCGGGGGAGGGGACCCCCCGGGGAAGGAGGAGGGGGCAGGGGGTGGGGACCTCCGGAGGGCCGGGG